ATTGGAAAGAATTGGAAGCGAAGGCTGTGGCGACTATTAGGCTTTGTCTGGCTGACGAAGTGATGTATCACATCATGGATGAGGAATCACCGGCAAAAGTTTAGTTGAAATTGAAAAGTCGGTATATGTCCAAGTCGTTGACGAACAAACTCTATCTTAAGTATAAACTATATGGTCTTAAGATGTCAAAGGGCTCGAATTTGACCCAACACATCAACGTGTTCAATCATATCATCAGCGATCTGAAGCGAGTTGATGTAAAGTTCGAAGACGAATATGAAGACAAAGACAAAGACAAGGCGCTGATGTTGCTGAATTCCCTGTCGGCGTCTCTTACGTACGAGAATTTGGTTACGACTCTGATGTGGGGGAAAGAAACCCTCGAGTTGGAGGATGTCACAAGTGCTCTGTTAAGTTTTCATCAGCGAAAGAAAGCCAGTGATGAGGCTTCACAAGGTGAAGGGCTTGTGGTTAAAAGGTAACCAGGAACGTGGAAGAAGCAAATCTCGAAATGGATCAGGTAACAATAAAGCCCGGTCCAAGTCGAGGAAGAAGAAAAAGGACGTCTTTGTCTCATGTTACAAGTGCGGGAAAAGGGGCACTTTAAACGGGACTGTCCAGAGAAAAAGAAAGGGGATTCAGAGGACCAAGAGGGTGCATCAAAGTCTGCAAACGTAGTGGAAGAAGAAAATTCAGAGAGTGGTGACGGTGATATGCTTTCTGTTTTATCCAGTTCAGATCGTTTAACAGATTCTTGGATTATGGATTTAGCATGTTCCTATCACATGACACTCAATAAATATTGGTTTGACACCTATAGGTCAGTAAATTCTGGTTCTGTTATGATGGGTAATGATGCATCTTGCAAAGTTGTTGGAATAGGAAATATTAGAATTAAGATGTTTGATGGTATGGTTAGAACGTTGTGTGATGTTAGACATGTACCGGATCTAAGGAAGAATTTGATTTTATTGGGCACTTTGGATTGTAATGGTTATAGTTACAAATCTATAAGTGGAGTAATGAAAGTGAGTAAAGGCATGTTGACAGTGATGAAGGGACATAAAGTAGCAGAAAATATTTACAGACTGCTGGGTACCACAATTATAGGTGGAGTTGCTGCTGTAGAGTCTGAATCAGATAATACAGTCTTGTGGCATATGCGGCTGGGTCATATGAGTGAGCGTGGGATGATAGAGCTTCATAAGAAAAATCTATTGAAGGGTGTCAAGACATGCAAGCTCAATTTTTGCAAATATTGTGTTTTTGGAAAACAGAATAGGGTGCAGTTCAAGACAGCCACACACAAGACAGAGGGGGTTCTCGACTATGTCCATACAGATGTTTGGGGACCAGTTAGCGTAGTATCACGGGGAGGATAAATGTATTTCGTGAGTTTTATTGATGATTACTCACGAAAGGTCTGGGTGTACTTCATGCGGCACAAGTCTAAAGCGTTTGCCAAGTTCAAGCTGTGGGAAGCTGAAGTAGAGAACCAGACAGAGAGGAAGATTAAATGCCTCAGGTCAGATAATGGTACTGAGTACACAGATTCAAAGTTCCAGGAGTTGTGTGAGCAGCATGGGATCAAGAGACACTTCACAGTCCGCAAGACACCACAACAAAATGGTGTAGCGGAAAGGATGAACAGAACGATAGCCGAGAAAGCTCGGTGTCTCAGGTTGAATGCAGGGCTTGCAAAGAATTTCTAAGCAGAGGCAGTGAATATGACATGTTTCTTGATTAACAGATCACCGAGGGCAGCACTAGATGAGAAAGTATCAGAGGAGGTGTGGATAGGCAGTGAGGTAGACTACTCTGGTTTGAGAGTGTTTGGATGTCCAGCCTATGTACATATTTCTACTGAGGAGAGGTCGAAGCTTGATGCGAAGTCTAGACAATGTATTTTTCTGGGATATCAGAAAGGAGTGAAAGGCTTCAAGCTCTGGGATCCGAAGGCAAACAAGATGGTGATCAGTAGAGATGTGGTTTTTGATGAAAAAGTCATGTTGCAGCGTACTCAGGAAGAAGAGAAACAAGTACCAGAAAACTGTAGCACTAATGACCATGTGGTGCAGGTGGAGCTAGAGAATCATGGTAGAGAAGAGGATGCTCAGCATGTAGAGCGTTCTATCTCAGGTGATCAACAACATTATAATATAGCCACAGACATGCCCAAACGCAATATCAAGCCGCCTACCAGGTATGGTTTTGAAGATTTGGTTTCTTATGCGCTTATTACTAGTAGTGGGGATCCTACAACTTTTCAAGAGGCAGTACAAAGCCAAGAGAAAAGTAGATGGATGGGTGCTATGGTGGAGGAGATGGAGTCTCTGCATAAGAACCAGACGTGGGAGTTGGTGGAACTTCCCGAGGGGAAGNTATGGTGGAGGAGATGGAGTCTCTACATAAGAACCAAACGTGGGAGTTGGTGGAGCTTCCCGAGGGGAAGAGAGCAATAGGGTGCAAATGAGTGTATAAGAAGAAAGAAGCAATATCAGAAAAGAAGGGAGAAAAATTCAAGGCTCGTCTAGTAGCAAAGGGTTACTCACAGAGAAAAGGGGTTGACTATGATGAGATCTTCTCCCCCGTGGTCAGACACACTTCCATCAGGACAGTGTTGGCACTAGTAGCACATTCAGATATGCAGTTGGAGCAGATGGATGTAAAGACAGCTTTCCTTCATGGCGANAACAGTGTTGACACTAGTGGCACATTCAGATATGCAGTTGAAGCAGATGGATGTAAAGACAGTTTTCCTTCATGGCGACTTGGAGGAACGGATTTACATGGTACAGCCAGAAGGGTTCAGTCTCCCTGGAGAGGAACATTTGGTCTGTAATTTGAAGAAATCACTTTATGGGCTGAAGCAGTCTCCGAGGCAGTGGTACAAACGATTTGACTCTTACATGATCCGAATTGGCTACAAAAGGTGTGAGTATGATTGNTCTCCGAGGCAGTGGTACAAGCGATTTGACTCTTACATGATCCGAATTGCCTACAAAAGGTGTGAGTATGATTGATGTGTCTATGTAAAAAAGCTTGATGGTGATTCATTTATTTTTCTATTACTTTATGTGGATGATATGTTGATTGCTGCCAAGAGTATGAGTGAGGTCAACAAGTTGAAGACTTTATTGAGTAGAGAATTTGACATGAAGGATTTGGGTGCGGCCAAGAAGATTCTTGGGATGGAGATTCGCAGGGATAGAGCTTCTAAGAGATTATGGCTATCTCAGCATAGCTATGTTAAGAAGGTGTTGGACAGGTTCAGCATGAGTTATGCAAAACCAGTAAGTACACCTTTGACGAATCATTTCAGATTGTCTACCGCTCAGTGCACGAAGACAGATGATGAAGTTCATGACATGTCAAATGTCTCATATGCTAGTGCAGTGGGGTGTTTGATGTATGATATGGTTTGTACAAGACCAAATTTGACACAAGATGTCAGCATAGTTAGCAAGTTTCTTTCAAATCCGGGTCGACAGCATTGAGATGCAGTTAAGTGGATTTCAGATACTTGAGGGGCACTACAGACTATGGCATCATGTTTAGCAGACAACATAATGACCATTCAGTTATGAGATATGTGGATGCAGACTATGCAGGGGACTTGGATGACAGGAGGTCTACCACAGGTTATGTGTTTACTCTTGTGGGAGGACCTATTTGTTGGAAGTCCATGGTACAGCCTATAGTTGCAATATCTACTACTGAGTTAGAGTATATGGCAGTAGCTGAGGTTGCCAAGGAGGATTTGTGGCTTATAGGTTTAGTCAAGGAGCTGGGTGCCCAACAAGGTGGAGTTTAGTTGCATTGTGATAGTCAGAGTGCCATTTATTTGGCAAAGAACCAGTTGTATCATGCGAGAACCAAGCATATAGATGTGAGGTTTCATAAGATCAGGGAACTGGTTTCTTCTGGTGAACTATTATTTGAGAAAGTTCACACTTCTGAGAATGCAGCAGACATGTTGACAAAGTCTGTTACTACAGACAAGTTCAAGCACTGCATGGACTTGATTAATGTCTCTAGTTGCTAGATGGGAGATGCCTCAACTTAGCGTCCCCGGTAGAGTTTCCGATTACATGTCCTCTTTTTTTTTTCTCCTAAGGGGTGAATATTTGCCAAGGTGGAGATTGTTAGAGTATGTGTGACTCATATTTGCTGTGTGCACAATGGCAAGGAGGCAGATGCCGGAGCGGAGCCCGCGACGGCATCTGCCTTGCGGGATTTGTATAAAGGAGACGCTGATTAGTTGGGGGTGTGGGGGCAACGCTCCTGCGGTACGGTACAGGGGTATTTTTGTAAATACGTCCGTATTAGGGTTATATAAATACTTAACCCTACTTTGAATAAGAAAAAGAACGGCCGCTAGCTCCTGTGGATGTAGGCACATTGCCGAGTCTCGTAAATCTCGGTGTTATTTTCTCTTGCTTTCTTAATTGTTTGATTCCTTATAATTCACCATAATTGTTGCACGATCACAATAGAAAGTTTGGTGAAAATTAATAAATCCCACTTATTCGACCACCTATAATGATTTGAAATACAAAAAATTAGCAAGTATTACATTGCTCTATTTTATGTTACTTTCAAAAGAAAGTGGTCCTAATGCACTAGCCGCCTAGCGTGAATGCAACGCTCGAGACTAGAGTACTCTTTCTATATATGGTACATAAACTAGAGAGTTAAAGCTTGCACAGGCCTCCTTAATATTTAACTAACAACCACCCAGTCCAGGTTCTTTGCCAAACAATGGGTTCAGCTGGAGATCAAAAACCTCATGCAGTACTGGTTCCTTTCCCAGCACAGGGACATGTTAACGCTATGATGCGAATAGCTAAGCTTCTATACTCCAGAGGCTTCCATATCACCTTTGTCAACACTGAATTTAATCACAAACGTCTGATTAAGTCTAAAGGTCCGGAATCCGTCAAGGGCTTGCCTGACTTCCGGTTCGAGACCATACCGGATGGAATGCCACCATCGAGCCTCGATGCAGGCCAAGATATAGAAATGCTTTGTGTCTCAGTTAGAAAGAACTGTTTGATTCCTTTCAAAGAGTTATTGGCTAAGTTGAATTCCTGTTCCTCCGATGTACCTCCAGTCAGGTCCATAATTTCAGATATCAGCTTCGCCATAAAAGCTGGCAAAGATGTGGGAATTCCAAATGTTAAATTTTGGGCAGCTTCTGCTTGTTCTTTTATGGGATGCTTGCATTACCGTGAACTTATCAAGAGAGGCATTTGTCCATTTAAAGGTAACTATGGTTTAAGTTTATTTTTTACGTCCATTTAAATACACATCGGTACTCAACATTCATTAGGATTCATAATCATAATAAGTTTCCACTTGGAACCACATCACGCAAGTTGCGCAACACTCCTCCTTAAGACTAAATGGGCAAGAAAATAGAAGTTAAACACAACACAAACGGAGCTATCTACCACGAGACAACCACCGGTTTATACCGGTTGGCAAATCCCTCCATGGAGACTAATCACTCACCACTCACCACCGATTCTCTAGATCTTCCTCTCCTTGCCCCTAGTTTTTCTCTACCCTACTATCTAGATCTATCTTCAATGTTATCGATTTCTCTCACATCAAAATTATATTTATCGCCGCCTGACAGTGTGGTTGATGATAAGGGATGGTGTGTCGAAAAATCTTCCCACACTAAGACTGATTCTCGGATTGCTCTCGGTCATAACTAATTTTATTCATTTACTTAGTCATATCACACGTCCAGACACCAACTCAACATATGTTAATGGTCGCACGCATAAGGCGTGAACCAAAACTTCACCCTTTTGGCCTTTAATCAGATTCACCACTTATTGTCCTCCAATAAATTAGAAGTTCACTTTATTTTATTATAGCAAAATCAATAAAAAAAACTCTGATTCTATACGGATTCATACAATATTTTTTATAAAAACAAAATCAAAAATTTTATTCATACGAAACTAATTAATATATATATATATATATATATATATATATATTGGTTCAACAGTGAGAGGTATCCGGATCAACTTACCTGCACCTTGACTAATTACCTTTTCGGTCTAGTCAAAGACATGTCATCCACGCTTGGGCTAGAGTATTCATGAGGAATAAATCTCTTATAACCTCACCTCAAGAGATTGCCAAAATTTAAAATTAGAACGTCTGAATTTACAACTCGTCACGATTATCACTTAAACTATTCATTAGATTATTAATTAGTATATTTGTTGTGTCAATGTCGGATTTTTTTTGTTTTACACCATTTTGATCTGTTTTCAAGGTTTTGCAAAATTATTTTTTGATATTGTTAAAAAAAAAACAAAATAATTCTTCATCGTTTTTTTGGAAAATAAAACCCTAGTTTGAACCACTTGTTCAGAGAGCAAGTAGAAACAGGAAGTCTCACTGCAAAACTGAACACATAAATCTTGGTTTGAATTATTTCTAACATTAATTGTAAAAATAAAAAACTACTAAGAATTTTCACTGTGTCTAGTAATCAGATAAAAAATAAAATATAAAACCAATAAATTAGTTTTTAGTAGAGAAGTCTTCGTACCCTCTTTACATCTGGATTCTCCATTGACAATCATCTCATGTACAATAATCCACATTATCTATGGTGAATACGAGATTTGAGTCGAAATTCCATGTGCCAAAGATTAATGTTAGATGGACTTAAAAACTAAATTTAAAAATTAAATTTGATAATTTCAACTATTGTACAGGTAGTAACTCTCAATAAATACTATGACCCACAATAAAATCAATGATTGTAATTATCAAGTATAATTTTTAAGTTTAAATCCATGTACTATTGCTCTATGCCAAAAGTCACCCAATATCTCTCTTACACACACATACACAAAGAAAGGGGAGAAATATTTTTCCAGAGCGGGTAATTTGGTACTTCTACGAACTATGTCACAAGTGTTGTATTTTGCACTCTAATTGTAAGTTCAGAGAGGTTTAGTGCAAACCTTAAAAATATATGTGGGGTACTTTACTGTATAGTATTTTTCCAAGCCTCTCATTCAAACCTGAACCACAAGGCTATGAGTCTAAGGGCAACATTCTATCCCCGGGGCAGGATAGTAAATAAATAAAAAGATAAAAATGAAAGTAGAAATATAAGCATATAATGTGCAAATGGAAAACTAAGTTGTTGTTTTGATGTAAATGTTTCATAAAATAAAGATGCTATTTGTACATGAAAACGATACAAGGACCTGGTCAAACAAATGCAAGACACATGCAAATTAGTATCAATAACACCATCAATGATATACTTTAGTTGTTCTGCTACAAACTTGAGTTATATTTGTGATTCACATGAATTGGACTATTGCTGGTATCTATAGATGATATGAGCAGCATGACTGTCTTAATTGAAGTCTTATCCTTGACCACAAATTTAATTTTATGCATCTCAGATGAAAACTACCTTACCGATGGCACTCTTGATTCACCTATTGATTGGATTCCTGGCATGAGAGACATACGATTGAAAGACCTTCCAAGCTTCATTAGAACCACCGACCCCAATGACATCTCATTCGAATTCATGGGAGAGGAAGCACAAGATTGTCTAAATGCTTCTGCCATAATTTTCAACACTTTCGATGCACTTGAACATGAAGTGTTGGAGGCATTCACTTCCAAGTTCAATTATCGTAACATTTACACACTAGGGCCTTTCCCCTTGTTAGGCAGGCATGTGCCTGAGAACCAAGCCAAGTCACTTAATTCAAGTTTATGGAAGCCAGATTCTCAATGTCTTGAATGGCTGAACCAAAGAGAGCGACAATCAGTTGTGTACGTGAACTATGGAAGTTTGGCAACTATAACTCACCAACATTTCAAAGAATTTGCATGGGGACTTGCAAATAGCAAGCAACCATTTTTATGGATCATTCGGCCTGATTTTGTAGTGGGGGGGTCAGCCATGTTGCCTGAAGCATTTCTTGAGGAGATCAAGGATAGAGGATTCATTGCTAGTTGGTGTGCTCAAGATGAAGTGCTAACACACCCAGCTGTTGGTGCCTTTTTCACCCATTGTGGATGGAATTCTATAATGGAAAGCATCTGTGGAGGTGTCCCTTTGATCTGCTGCCCAGCTTTTGGTGACCAACAAACTAACTGTCGATACTTGTGCACTGAATGGGAGATCGGAATTGAGATCAATCACGATGTGAAGCGTGACGAAGTCCAATCACTGGTTAGAGAAATGATGGAAGGGGAGAAAGGGAAGAAAATGAGGAGCAATGCTCGGGAGTGGAAGAAGAAAGCAGAAGAAGCTACTAATGTTGGGGGATCATCCTATAGCAATTTTGACAAATTCATCAAGGAGAATCTTCACCATGAAGAGAAGTAACAGACAATGCAGAAAACTTAAGCCAAGCTATTTCTCTAGCTTTTATTTATATATAAATGCATACAAATAGATATATATATATATATATCTCTTAAAGCCAAGATGTGTTAAAAAATAATTCGAGCATATAGTTGTCATTATGGGATGTTGTGCCTTTCGTAACCTGTTGATGTTGCATTTTATGGGACGGTACAGGGGGATCCAAATCCTATATGTCATTCTGTAGGTGATTATGTGTTGCAATAGGATTGCATTTGAAATCAAAATGGATCAAGAAAACCCTAAATAATAACTACTCCTCTATTTAAAAGGAACAAGTTCTTTAATTATCAAAGAAAGACAAGTCTAGGGCCCTAAAATCTCCTGCAAATCATGCGAATACCATTATAGAATGAGACATGGTTATATAAATCCACAGTGTGTATTCGCTTGATCTATAATGCGAAAAATAAAACAAAGCCTTGTTGTTCAAACATGGGATTAGTACAAGGACAATTAATCCATGTTGTATCGAAATCTTGATCCAAACATGATATAGTTGAGAAAGGATAAAGTGGTAACCCAATTTAACAGTATGGTTTGAATTGACATCAATTGTCCAATCTCGTTCAATGTTATATTCAAACCAAAATTGCCTAGAGGTAAAGTTCACTTATTAAAGAAAGCTGGCTCGACCTAGATGATTCGAACCAAGCAAACCCCGAAAAAACTATCTATTGGTTCACTTACCTCTCTCTTTTCTTCTTTGGGTTTTGCGCACTCTAGTTAGTACCTCTTCTTTCTCCCCTATTCCTAATCTCTTAAACATGCTAAGAGAGAAATAGAGAGGGAGCGAGAGAAAGATAAAACAATGATTTTACCATATCACCCTTCTAACACAACATGTGTGCGATCACATGAGGAAAAACTAATTATTATTGTTAACCGCGGGTTACATTAAAACAAATTTGAAGGACAAAATGCAACTTGTAAAATTCTTCGGGTGCAAAATGCCATTAGTCAAAGTGTAATATTAGATTAATAAAAAAAAAGGGAGAATTACACCCAATCCCTCTAAGGTTTCTTACTTAATCGCACAGACCCCCTGACATTTAAAATATTACACACAGACTCTCTGAAATTTATATACGCGTAACACTTAGACACTTGTTGTAAATATATACGTTAATAAATTACACCTAGACCCCTCTGAAGTTTGTAGGCGTATAATACTTAAACTCATTAAGTTTAAAATATTATATTTAGACCAAAAATACTCCAATTAAAGATAAAATATCAAATATATTAAATTTTACAATCAAAATTTATATTCTATTGTATAATTTATTGAAATAAAATCAAAATTGAAAATTAAATTTTTTCTTAAAAAATCGTAATTAGTGTACAATTATATTATCTATTGGAATAAAACTAAAAAATCAAACAAAGGTTATAAGTCATTTCATAATACAACATGAATTTTACAACCAAAATTCATGTTCTATTATGTCATTTATTAAAATAAAATCAAAAATAAAAATTTAGTTTTTTTTAAAAAAAAATCATAGTTAGTCTACAATTATAATATTTATTAGAAAAAAAATTAAACAATTGGTCAAACTGTAATGAACACAACATCTTTTAGCTTTAATTCTAGTAGTTTGGTACTTTAATTTGGTTGTTTAAACGACTAAATTAAATTCCAATAGACAATATAATTGTATATTAATTACAATTTTTTAAAAAAAAAATAAATTTTTACTTGATTTTATTTCAATAAATGGTACAATATAACATGAATTTTAATTGTAAAATTTAAAATATTTGATATTCTATCTTTGACTGAAGTATTTTTGGTTTATGTATAACATTTTAAATTTAAAGGGTCTAAGTAATATATGTTTATAAACCTTAGAGGGACTGGGTGTAATTTATTATCGGATATATTTACAATAGATGTTTGAGTGTTACACACGTACAAATGTTAGTAGGTCTGTGTGTAATATTTTAAATGTCAGGGTATCTGAGCGATTAAGTGATAAAACCTCCAGAGACTTGGTATAATTCTCACTAAAAAAAAGGAATAATAGCATTTTTGGTCTTTAAAGTTTGCAAGTTTTATCAATTTAGTCCCTAAAGTATCAATTTTATCCCTAAAATATTCAATTTGTGTTTTAATGGTCCCTACACATATGGATCATTAAGTTTTTACCATAATGATCATGTTTTGATCACGTGATATCATCTGAAAGAATGACATGTTGTCACTTCCATTAAACACTTAACGAATTATTTAATTAAAAACGAAAGAGACATGGACCAAATTGACAAAATTAATACTGTGAGAAAAATACAACGCTTCACGTGTCAAATCTTTCCACTCGATTATACACGAGTAATTGCACGCTAGACCTAAAGTGGCGGTGAATAGGTTATTAAAAATTTCATTTGGACAAATACAAATTTTAACTCAATTCAACCTCAATTACATCTTCTCACAATGATATATCAATTTAAGTGAGAACCTATTTTAAATCACTACAACCTAAAACACCTATGTAGATTAGTGTATTGATTTTATTAATTTATTGATTAATACTCAATCTCACACAGTGATCTCAATTAAGACAACCCAAACTCAATCAACCCACTATATGTGATATGTATATTCAAACAATTAATTTATTATATACATAGTGCATATATATGCATCAAATCACAAGTGTGTATGTAAAAATGATAAATAACACAAGTGATTTATTTATGCGAAAACTTTTGTCAGAAAAAATTGAATCCACTAGACTCAAAGTCAATCTACAAGTACTCAAAACTTATATCTCAACCAATCCACATGGCTAGATGCTTCTTTCCTTCGTAAATCTCTCTTCCAAAATCCCTCCTTTGATGTTATGACTAACTTCACTTGAACACACGGTTCATTTAGACCTCAAGCAATTTTCAAGATTTCACACCCAAGACTCTTGGTATGCACACACCAATGGGCTTGTCAAACCAACAAGATCTTCAACTCGAATTTATGTGATTAGGTAAAATCTTTAGTGGTAGCCTTTGGATATTAGCGTTCTAGGTTGTGGTGAAAACTCTCAAGGTAGAGGAATGAATTTATCTCTTTAAAATCTCTCTAGAGGATTAACCAATATGTGGGAAAGGATGTCCCTATTTATAGGTCAAGAATAATAGTAGTCTTAGTAAATAAAAAAACTCAAATTCGCGAATGACTGCTCAATTTGTGGGAGGGCAGTCACAGAGCAGTTGTCACTAGAGTGAACACAATGTTTCAAACATGACAAAGGTAAGCACTGCTCGAGCAAGCTTATAGAGTGAGCCCTGTGCTTCCTTCCATGACTATTTCTCATTTATTTCCGTAAGTCATAAAGAAACTGCTCTAACTCAGCATAAAACCATACAAAAACTTGTACTCTTCAGTATTAAAAGATGTTGCCCAAAGAGAGGTTCATGTGACGACTCGTATATAATTTAATTATTGACACGCTAATTAGGTCGTCAATTATTATTTTATAAAATAATAACAATAATAATAAATAAATAATAATTTTTTTTAAAGGAATATATGGATCTCAAATGTAGACTCTTTATATGAAAATGATTCAAATGACTATAATTTAGGTCAAATTTAGTAATAAATATAATGAATATATATATATATATATATGCACATATGAGCAAATAAAAACGTGTGCAAAAAGAAAGAGAAAAAAAAAAGGGTGAAGTAAATGACACGGACAAGTGTCCATGAAATGCTTGGTGACCAAGCAAGCATGGCTTTAAATAGCCTGCATTTGGGTCTTCAAACAACGCACAAGGAGAAGAAGGAAAGGGAGAGAGAGAGGGGAAGAAAGGATAGGGAAGAGAGAGAGAGAGAGAGAATAGAATATAATATAAGAAAAAAATTCATGAGATTTTGGGGTCAAAAATTGAGCGGTGATTTTATTTCATATTATTATCAAATTCAAATATTTTGTTCAGGGTATTTTGAATTTCATATCTATCGAAGTCATTTGAGGTACGAGGTAGTATACAATATGCTCCTGTCTTTTAAATCTCTTTGTAAAGAGTGTCCTTTTATTATCTGAAATTTTGTAATTCTATTGATTATTCCAATTTATAAGAAATTCTGTCAATGTTATCGGTTGACCTGTACGTGTACGTTGAGCTAAATACTTTGGGATTGATTGATATATGTATGAAAGTGTACTTGGGGGCATAATTGGTGAAATGTGATTATGGCCCTGCGGAGCAATTGTGATTACAGCCCTGAGGGGTGTAATGGTTCGATATGAATTTTAAATGCCCAGTTGTCACTTGTCATGTCACCAAGAGGACCTGAGTATGAGACTAGGTTTGATAGATATTGATCTATGTGACTTATCGAATTGGATTTTTGATTTTTTTATCTATGATCATTTATCGATTGAATTATTTGGTATTTGACCATTCATATTATTTTCTCGTTGAGGATATTGTTTCTTGTCATATTGTAGAAGAATTGAAGATAGACGAATCTTGATATAATTTTTAACTTTGTGGGTTTATTGGGATGATGTATAATTTGAACAAATTCGTTTTTATATTGAGGAGATTATTTTATTGGTATTTGGAGGTTAAAATTGTGATTATAAATTTATTGAGGCAAATAAAACTCTGGCCCTATATTTGGAGATTTATTTGTTGTTGATTATTGATCGATCGATTTAATCAAGTAACGGGTCCAGAAAACCGGAGCATTACAAAGTGGTATCAGATCTTATATGGGTCTTGTGGGAAGTGAGACTACCATCTTTCGTTGTAGGTATCAAAAATTTGGGTCATATAGTAAAGAGTTGAAAAAAAATGTATTCATACTTATTTTACTTTTGAGGTTAGTATTGAATTTCGAGGACGAAATTCTTATAAGGGGGGTAGATTGTGACGACCCGTATATAATTTAATTATTGACACGCTAATTAGGTCGTCAACTATGATTTTATATAATAATAACAATAATAATAAAT